CCCCTGAAATCCCTAAGCATTGATAAGAACAGCCTAAACCAGCCGCTGTAACCAGTCGTTAGCCAGTGCCCAAGTCAGAGTCTTTATCTTCCCATACGAACTTAAGGTCAATCAGGCGATGTCCAGTACAATAGAATACATGCTTCAATTGGGTGGGAGCTGATCTGGAGCGTAGTCACCAGAGTATGGGTGGCAAACTATGCACTACGTCTTCTACTATAGAAAAAACAACCCCTTATCAACTACTGCTTGGTACAAACTTTGGTGATATCACTTGTACTCGTTTCCCAGGAGAGTTTGGAAAGCCCGGGTGAAGTCTCTTCGAGGATAGCTGACCAATTTTATGAATTTTTCCGAACAACCGTTTTTTTTTGTATAAAATCCTCCTCAACACTAGCGGTCTTCTAGGGAAAGCCATTAACAACCTTGAACGATTTCCGAGCGATTTTTTACGGATTTTTTTCTTATTCTCAGTTGGAGTCTACTTTTTTCAGTGTTCCATGTGTTCAAGCCGATTTCAAACGTGCTACCCGATTCTTCTCTACTGATTGCAGTCGGTCTTGTGATCGGGTTACTTCTTAAAGAAACCGGAGCTCATATAAATTATTCACTTGACTCTCATGTGTTCTTCTTATATCTTCTACCACCTATCATTTTTGATGCGGGTACAAATTTAGTCTATATTTCTACTTTTTCTGTCTTAGAAGTATTGTTTGATTTCGATGCAATGAGAATTTCAGGTTATTTTATGCCTAACAGGGCCCTTTTCGAAAATTTCGACTCGGTACTTCTTTTCGCCGTTGTCGGTACGATATGGAACTGTTTGGCAATAGGTAAGGGTTAAGCTTTTCCTCGATTTTCAAGGAAGCTCAAGAATAACCAGAATTTTCTTTCTTGAAGGACAAAATCAGTGAGAATACATAGTACTTATCAAATTTGTCGATGGTCCCTTGTTGGTGGTAATTTTTCCACAAAAGCTGGCCAACAAAATTGTACCTAGAAGCAACTCCGCAGTTTGACTTATGAAGTTTTATTTTTATTATTATTTATCGATTTTATAAAGCGATATGGCAAGAATGTCTGCGGAATTCCTACTGTGGACGAGGTGGACGAGTGTTTTTGCCGATCGATTCACTAATACGCTAGCCTAATCGCTGATAGGATTACTGTAGTAGCGTCTATTGTTCGTTGATTAAGAAACGCGATCATGGGTCTATTCGTTAGAGGGATCTCAAGATTTTCAAGAGGGCCTGAGCAGGTTTTCTGGGGTCCCAGAACATTCTACAAAACTACTAATTCATTTGAATGAACAAAAAGGGCAAATTCCTTGAAGTACTCAACTACCGGTTTGCTCTGTGAGAATTTAGGGTGGTTGTACTTGAATGTGTACTCGGGTTGCCAGATATTTCCTATAACTCTAACCTATGACCGAATGTTTTCATAAAGGTCAGCCAAATTTACTTGGCAAGAAATTTTTGGCTGTAAGTTTCAGTGAGGAGATACTGTTTTGGAAAAAAGAAGAGAAGGGATTTCGGGAAAAATGAAGAATTTCTTCCGGTAGTTCACGGTAGGAATCATCCCTCCTTTATCACTCCTTCCAGAATACGCCGTGCTTCTCACTCTTATTGGTGATTAGCAATAAAATTTACCTAAACTCTTGGACCTCAATCTTTGCCGAACGAAAATTGAAAAGTAGCGGTGGGTATATACTTGCAAAATTACGGTAATGCGTGACATTTCGAAGACCTTCTGGAACAGATGCAAAACTTGGGTAAACCATATGCCCTTTACTGAGCTCTATAGTACTTACTCTATGCCAACGACTAATAGTAATATGTGTGAGCATTCAGTTATAGGAGTAAGTCTTACTTACAATTATATTTATGGGTTCGTTTCATGGACTTTGAGTTTGGAGAAAAGCCGATAATCAAGTCGCTGTGGATCTTCCGCTTCCCCTCAAATGTAGAACACCACCCGATACGGTCATTAATCATGGCACGAATCTCGTATGCCAAATTTAAAGACCAAAATTCTGCCAGGTTTTAGAGACAAAGGGATAAAAGTGCAGTTTTTCAGGAGCCTCACTACTGGTACTTTCCAGTTACGGTATTTTCTCTATGGAATTTTCTACCACGGAAATTTTTGTATTTTCTGCACTTATTTCCGCTGTTGATCCGGTAGGTTGCGACTGATACCGACCTTCAAGTTGCAAAAATACAGTACCGAATGACATCGATGATAGAATGAGCAGATCGGGCGGTACTTCGGTATCGATGCATTTTTTCGTACTTAAGTGTAAAACACTCGGTGTGTTCAGTACTGCGATAAATATTTAGTCATAGGACGAAAGTCCGGGTGCAGTGAAAGACGAAGTGCGGCCAAGCCAAACGACGTCTCAGGGAAATTGGAGCTACAGTAATCCACCCATATAATCCTTCCGAAAACCTGTTTTATGGGACCAAAAATAAATAGTTCAATAATTATGATGACTAGA